CTCACCCCGCTGCCCTCGCTGCTCCGGCCATGCCTGCTGTGCTCCTCTTCCCATACACCCATGGGCTCAGCACAGGTGGGATGATCCACCACCACAGCCCCCCTTGGTGCTGCCCTCGCCTCACCAGGAAACCACTCCTGAGTGGGTCCGGATCTGGCTGCTACAGCCACGGGACCTGCGCTAGCGCTGCCGCCAGCCCTCGGGGACACGGGAGGGGGACAGCAGTAACAGTCAGATCCGCTTGGAACTACACCTCTACAAACAAGGACTTACAGGAACTAAATACAGGTTTATCTATCTGTGCAGCTAGATAGATATACATCTGCCCACGCACAGACATACAGTCAACCAGATATATGTGTATGCCCACACGTACAGACACGCACACACATATACACACACATAGGTACTCTGTACATCAGCAGGCAAAATTAGTCAAACACCTCAACAATCTGGAACTACTTCAGAGCAGATCTGGCACCACATGCTGAGGAAGCTCATTGCACTGTGACCACGGTCCCCGAGCACACACCTCCCCCTCAGCAAGGACAAACACACATCCACCACCTCTCCTCAACATGTATCTACATCCAGAGGTGTTCCCACACTCACCATGGCAGCTGCAGTCGCTGCTGCCTGGGCAGCTGCAGCTTGGTTAACCTGGTACTGGGCAGCCTTGATCTTGGCTTGCAGGTGTGCAGGAGGGTGAAAATATTTGCACTTTTCCCGGGAGCATCTCCCTTTGATGTAATCCATGCAGACGGTGACCGTGTTGTCGTTGGTGTCGATCATCGCGCTGTCGGCGGGGTGAGCGAACCGGCAGTCGTTCTCTCCCCTGTTGCAGTTCCCACGCTGGTATTCTCGACACACCTGCAGCACCATGGAAAGAAAGTCCCTTAGTTTGTGGGACAGGTGTGGCAGGCATGGCTCAGAGCTGTGCTGGGGTTTCCAAATGCCTGTGAGAGAAGTGCAAGGACAGGGCCCTGGCCCCAGGTGGGGCACAGCAGTGGTGCTCAGGGACCGGGCAGCAGAAACTGGCTTCTCTAGAGCCACTTGTGATGCCAAAGAACATCAAACCCCACAGCATCAGAACCAAGCACAGAGGGTGTCATTTTGGCTCCCACTTAACCGCCCGTAAGGTTGTTTCTGCTTCCTGAACAAACGTGCTGTGGCCATTCTCGGGGACCACCCAAGCACTCCAAGGTGCGTGGCCACGCTCTGCTGTGACCTGGCTGTGCTGAGTCACCACACTCGATGTGCTCATGAAGGTGAGTGCCACAGGTGCTGGGAGGGCAGGCAGCCCGACCTAGCAGACACTCCTGTGACCATGTGCTCCCACGATCCAGGCGTCTGCCACGAGAGGGCAACCCACAACCCATGGTGTCGACACAGCCCCCCCGGGCTGCCTGGCCATCGTCCTGCAGACCCTCGGGAATCAGGCAAGGAGCCTGGTCACAGCTGGAGAGGTCATTGGTCCTGCTGTCACACACCAGCAGCCAGACGAAGCTGGAGGGATCAGAAACTGCAGCAAGCAACTGCTTGGCTGGCAGCCCTCCCGCAGCATCCCTGCTGCGGTACGTGGGCTCCAGCTGGCCCCAAGCCTGCACAGACCCCCTGGATCCCTGACCACCCCAGTGCCACAGACACTAACCCTGTTACCAGTGTGACAAACACTGTCCCCCTCCCCACATGCCATGTAAACTCTGTGTTAGACAGACTGACGTGTGCTCCTGTCACAGTCAGCTCTCCCCAAACCACCAACAACTGGCATTCCAGTTTTCCAAAGGCCAAAGGAAACAATGGGACAAATGTAACTAATTCTGTATAAAAATAAAATCACTTTAGTAGATGGAATTTCCTGTTCAAGGTGGGAGCTCATGAGCTTGGATCATCAGTATTTCCTCAAGGACCTTGGCTCCAAACCCTGCAACAACCTAAATTTGGTGGTGGTTTGGTTTCCCTCCACACCAGTGCTCTGGCTGCTGTTTAACCATCATGCTCCTGCCAGTGCCACCTGCCCATCCTCTGTACAGATGAACTGACACCCCAGCAGGACCAGAGCAATGCCACGTGTGAACCTGACCACAGGAAACATCCATTTGTCCAGGGTCATTCCTGCATGACCCTATTTATAGGTTTTTTACATGTGGTGACAGACTCTGGGTGTGTATTTGCAGCAGAGCCACACGAGCAGGGTCTAGCCCCTCCATGGCCCTCACTCATCCCGTTTCCCTCCTGCTCAGTGTTTGCAGAATGGATTCTGCAGCACACAGGCAACAGCAGCACACAGGCAACAGCTCAGGCAAATTCCTCAGCTGGAAAATAAATAACCACCTGCCTGCCAGGCAATGCTGCAGCCAGATCCCTTCCCTGGTCCAGTCCCCAACAGGGGCCACTGTGCCAGCCAGCATGACACAGGGAGGACTAGAGAAGGAGGTTCTCTTTCATCACCTAGGAACAATTTTTGGGTCATGAGCCAGCATGCTCTACACCCAAGCACAGGTCTCCCACATAGACAGAGGTGGATAATTTCCTTTGATTATTTGTTTGCAGTCTAGCAATAAACTGAACTCTTTGCCTCTGAAGGTGAAGAAAAGGATGAACTAAAGGCAGCTGTCTTTGCTCCTTGTCTTGTACTGGTGATCCACTAAACTGAGGTCTCAAAACCACTCCACGTGTAAGCATGAACTACTCCATTAATAACACAAAGATGATATATACAAATGCTTACATATAAGTGTGTGTATATATATATAAGCATCTATATACACAGCGAGAGAGAATGCATCCACAGAAAAGCTAATTTCATCCCAGTTAGAAACCAACGAAGAATGACCAGAGCACTGAAATAGGCAGGTAGAGACAACCTTTGGCACGTCCATGGCAAGTTTTCAGAGCTGTCACACAGCAGCTGTGCTAAGGCAAAGAACAGCTCCCTCCATGCTTCTGAGCAGATCTGGGGATGATGGCTCAGGCACAACCCTGAACTGCCAGTCCTTCTGATCACTGAACCAACAGTGGCTTTACAATCACTGTGAGGGAGGGTAACAACTAAGAATATTTCCAATTCTCGTTTATTTAAAAGCAAGCATTGAAATGGGGTTACTTTTTTGCCATGGGCACACTGCAATATATCATTCATCTGCTTGAGTAAAGAGACGCACAGAGGCATGGTGTGCTGACTGGTCTTTCAGATCTGGAGAGCTTTTATTAGTTATTTATTAATAGCCCTGTAATTAGTACCATAATTTTCAACTCAGTATGTTGGGAAACATAAACAGAAGAGGCATGGGTAAGTCTCCAGCCTGCTGCAAAATGCTGAGTTAGAGCTGCAGCAGCACTGATTCACTGTAATTCTCTTCACTTGCTCTGGTTTTGGGCTGAGTTTGCTTTGATGGCCCTGCTGTCCTTGCTTCTTTTCTAGTTCACTGAAGAACCACACTTTGTTCAAGATATTTGTCAGAGGAGGAGTGAGAGGAAAGCTGTGGTAAACCCATGACATTTCCAGCCTGAGATGCAGATTTCTCATGGGAGCGGCTGAACACACTGGACACCCAAACATCTGCATGCTGTCAGTATGAAATACAGATGAAAGCAATCCTACTGCTAGTAGCAATCACTGACCTCATCTCACCAAGACTCACATTAATTCAGGAGACCCGGCACGCTGCTCGCCGGAGCTGTGGTGTCTGCTGCTTCCCTTAAACCCCAGGTGTACGTACTGAGAGCCTTCAGCTGTGGAACAGTCTGATTTGCTACCCCAGAACGTGTGCTGACTTAATTCCTGCCAGTGTACATCAGTCTTGAAAATAAATATTTAAAATTCTAAGCAGAACCAATCATGCTCCAAGATTAGATGCTAACATCACCGTGGTTATTTTTCTCCAGGACAGTTCATTCCAAGAGAGAGCAAGTGGAGCCTTATAAAGCTCTGATCATGCCATCACAAATGGCAATGCCACAGCAGCAGCTCATTGGAAGAGCAGGTAGGCACTGCTGGCTCCTCTGGGAGGTAACGGCCAGACCATGCAGCATCTCCAAAATCAGTTTTGCAATTCAATGACCTAAAAAGTATATTCACATGTTTTGCTGCTCATAAAAATGATGTGCTTGTTTGGTGTTTGGATACTAAATTTGGATACTCCAGATCAAATGGCCATTGCACGGGAAAGCAATTGCAAATTATCTTCTCACCTGCATGTTTCAGTGTTTAAACTGCATTTGGAGAATGGAAAACCAGGAACAGACATGCCCTCCTTCCAACAGAGAGATTTTTTAAGCTAGCAGCACAGAGTGATTGCAGAGTCTGTGGGTCAATTTGGATATGCTCTTGATTCCAGTGAAAACAGAAGGCAGAGCTCAGTTTAAAGGTTAGGAGCAACTGGATTGTTTTAAAGTGATCCACATGGTGCAGCAGCCAGAGTAGAACCCAGGGAAGGGCCCTGGGAGGAAGCAGGGCTGGGACAGTCCACATCCAAGGACAAGGACACCTCCCAAGAGCAGAGCCCACTGAGACAGAAAAAAAATCACAGCACCGAGGGCTTTTGGGACTGAGAAATCAGGATGTTCATCAATGGGAGAATAGGGCTGAGTAGTGAGTCCCTGCTTGACCACCTTCTGGCTGCAAGGTGAGTCCACAGAGGGCTGGTGTGGCTGCACCAGGACAGGTGACAAAGAAGTGCTCCTCAAAGGCTCAGCCCTTGCTTTCAGAGGTTTCCAAACTGACCATCTCTTCCTTTCCATACAAGTTCAAAGCAAAACCACTTGACCCTTTTCAAAAGATTTAAAAGTTTTACTGATTTCAGATGTTTTTCCTAATTGATAAAAATATTTTTTACTGCATACTGTGCCCCTGAGTGTTTTGTGAGTGCTACTCTTACAGTTCCCTCTCGTGCAGGAGGTTGGCTCAGCAGTGCAACACTTCTCTGAACGAACAGCCATCTCAAGAGAACGTAGCATCTGGAGGGCCAAATCCTGCACACTGAAATCCCAGATTTCATTAGCTCCCTGTGCACTGTGGTCACAATCTGTGACCAGCAACCAGGGTCGTGTCACTACACAGCCCCTCTTGGGCTCCCCCATGGATGTACCTGCTTCCCTGGCCATGGGCACAGCCGGTGCTCAGGGACATTAGGTACATCCTGCTTATGACCTGGACACTTTTGAGCCCTCATGTCCCAGCAGCACTGACCAGCCTATGGCTGCAGCATGGCTGGAAGCACAATCAAACACAGCAGCTGCTCTTGGAACCACGACCCAAAGGGCTCCCTCCATCAGCATCCTCCTCTCTGTACTCATTTCCAAATCCAGTGTGATTTATTTATGAATTTATCTAATTGCATTTTGGTTTTAATCCACCCTGGCAAGTGTCCATCACGAAACAGAGTCCTCAAGGGAAAAATGTCCCTGGATGATTCCAACCAGCCTCCCATGCGCCAGCTTGGAGCTCGGTGCAGCTGCCTCCCCTGTAACCTGAGTGTGCTTTGGGGAAAGCTTCCCCTGGGGAAAACATCTCTAAAAAGGGAAATGATGCGATCCCACAGGAGGGGAACCTGTGGTGACGTGAGCTCTGAAAATAGTGACAGTGACAGCGGGAAATGTTGGCTGCTAGATGACCCTCCACACTCCTCCCAGTTCACCCCTTCCGAGCAGCAGCTCGTAAGCCACGGATGCAGCTAAGGAAAAGGAATTAATTTCCCTTGTAAGGAGAGTTAATCACTGTTAATGCAGATGCATGGGCAGAAAGAAAAGCATTCCAGAGAGCTGCATAAAACAGAGGTCCTTCATGCTCCTCCCATTGTGCTCCCTGAGCTCAGGGCCCAGACACAAGGGCAGAGAAGGGAGATCACCAGTGGCTGTGCTATGGGGAGAGAGGCCTCTTGCAGGTGCCAAGTGCCCTAGCACACTGCTGGGTCCAGCAGACAAACGGTGAGAGTGGGTCAGCCCAGCTGCTCAGCCTCTCCCATTGCCACCTTTTAGTCACCAGTCCTGACTGGGGATGCTGAGCACCTGCACACAGGCTGTGCCCGCAGGCTGCATCCACAGGCTGTGATCTGTGCTCGTGGCTGTGCCCATGGGCTGCAATCTCTGTTTGCAGCTGTGCTCACAGGCTGTGCCCATGGGCTGTGATCTATGCTCATGGTTGTGCCCTCAGGCTGTGATCTGTGCCTGGGGCTGTGCCTGTGGACTGCAATCTCTGTTTGAAGCTGTGCTCACAGGCTGTGCCCATGGGCTGTGATCTATGCCCATGGCTGTGCCCTCAAGCTGTGATCTGTGCTCGTGGCTGTGCTCACAGGCTGTGCCCGCAGGCTGTGCCCACGGGCTGTGCTCTGTGCTCACAGGCTGTGTCATGGCTGTGCCCCAAGTGCGCAGCAGCCGGCGGCACATCGCTGGCTCACCGCCCACACTGCCGAAGCACCGATAAGGTGCCGAAAACACTGTCAGGCCTTTCAGATAAGAAAGATTCAGAGCAAGGGAGAGCACCAGCTTGAGAGTACTGACACTTGTCAGGGTTGTAGTGAGGATGATAAGCTGGGTGCGGGAGGCCGACAAGGGGAGTGTGGGCACCATCTGTCCAGAGCCAAAGTAAAAGAGGCCACAAGTCATCTTGCACCCAAGCAACTGAAGCTCTGCACCTTTCCCTGGTGCTCAGTGCCTGTGCCCCCAACACATTAACAACTTCTTGGCACCCACTAACTCAGCTTCCTGGTGTTCTTGCTGCTGCCATGGTCATTCCTATTTCCATTTCTCTCTGCAAGTGAAGGGCAGAAGCAGAAGGGCAGCATGAACTTATTGTATAACCACTCAGTCACTCCTTGTTCTTACCCATCACCAAGACAGGACATTATCAGCTCAAGCGAAACCTGCATTATTTGTTTTCACAAGAAAAATACTTCATATCTAGGAGACATAACAAAGGATACCACTGGCTCCTACCTCCAGCCTGTCTGTCCTCATCAGCTTCTGGGCAGCAGCGGCGGCAGCGGCAGGAACTGGGACACCAGGGTTCCCTGTCACCAGCATCGGGGCTGTGGGCAGGATCTCCGCAGGGACCAGGCCCGGGGACACAGGCCCCAGGTAGGGGTTGAAGGCGGCTGACGCATTGGTGGCTAAGCTCGGTGCGACGGAGAACATTGGCTGCAATCAGAGACAAGGAGAAAGGCACTAAGATTTGCACTTGCCATGCTGTCACCATAACAACTCTTTGGCCATCACCTTGAGCAGAGCAAGGTTAGTTTCTGTTACTACAGGAAATAAGCATTTGTTGTGCTTGTGAGACAAGGGAACACCTGCGCAGATGTCACCCCTCCAAGGGGTGAGCTGGGAGGGGTGTGGAGGGACATCTGGCAGATGTCACATGCGAGCAAGACCATAGGGACAGGCATCCCTGCCAGTCTCTCCTGCTCCAGCCCCCCTGCACACTCACAGCACGTGGCAGCTCCAGGAGCAAACGCCTGTTGGATCTGTACTCCAGCAATGTCATAATGAATGACACTCTGTGGGGTCACAGAGAGTCTGGGGCTGCCAGGAGGACATGGCCACAGCAGGTACAAATATCTACTCTCAGGGAAGAGCCATCTGAGAGCCCCAACAGCATCGACCACACTCCACTTCAGGCTCAGGTAAAGCCTTTCTGACCCTGGTGGCAGCCAGGCTGGCTCAGGAATTACAGAGGTTTCATACAAGATCAAAAGCAGCCAACCACAATCCTTCAATTTACAGAATTCACCAGGCTGGCCATGCAGATCCTCAGGCACACACTGCATCACGGAGATGCTTTAGTTAGCTAAAATACTAAACCAGAGGAAGAGAGAGCACATGCAAATACAATTTTCCTTTGTTTGTTTGCATGTTTTCACAAGAGTTGTGTGCCCTTGTGGGCTGTGCCGTGGTGTGAAGATAATTGGGTGTAGAAGCCCAAACAATGCTGTGAAACCCAACACAGAGCCGCTACACTGCAGCAAGGATTAAATAACTCTCCTGCCCCTGAACACACAGTGTAACTGCCAAATAAAATCCAGCCAGGAGTGTTTATCTTTCATTATCTAAATAAAGCAGTTACTCAAGGCATTTAGGTTTTTCTTCCAAACTAATTTTCAGAGGGAAAAACAACTACAGAGTTAACACAACTCTTTCTCTGTTTCATATCAATTTAAGGCAGACAGTGCAGAACGCCACATGTTTTTGTGCTCCTGAGGAAATGACTGAACTCTTTGGAAGCAAGGGACATTGGAAACACTGGACAAAAACATGCAGGCATTACTGGAGAAAATAGACTGAGAGCTGTGTAAATGGCAATAACTTCTGTAACGCCTCTGGTTCTTCATCCATGCGAATGAAAAACAAACAGGCAGGTTTTACAGGAAATTAAATATTACTCTTATAAATGCTATTAATTAACTGCAATTTTAATTATTGTGTTATCAGACAGGTAATAATAAATACTAAAATAAAACTATAAACCAGTCTGTTGGTGTATAACTTAAGAGATATCAATATTTGATTTCAGCCCAATACACTCACTGTGCAGTAAATAAAAGACTACCCTGTTTGTTTTCTACTGAGCTCATTTTATACCAATATAAATATCCTGCAGCCTTTAGAACACTGCAGAATAACAGCATGTTATCAGAGCCACTTCACAGTCTCCTGAAACTGTAACTGCAAACTGGTCAGAACTGGGACCTCGTGCCAGGCAGCAAAGAGAAAGGAGAGCTCCAGGCCAGGCTGAGCCACTGGGCTCACCTCTGCTCACCTGTTTTCCAGCCAGGTTTCACTTCCCCAGCTCTAGAACCAGAGGTAATGTTTCTCTATCATCATGACCAAACCACACAACTACTTACTGGCCTTCTAGTTTGGGCCCTGCTGTGCTGCACACCATGCACGGCAGCTGAGGAAAGAAAAAAGCAGCTACTATAGATCAGCAGAGAGAGCAGAGGGGAAGGAGAACACAGCTCTGGATGCAGCTCTCTGCTGCCAGATGCCCCATCATCTGATGGGCTAGTACCAACTGGTACACTAGTACCACGGCCATGGCCTAGCTGAGCCCAGGTCTCTCTAAACCAAAGCCCAGTTTCAGCAACTAATTCTGTGAGAAGGTTCCCCTGAGTGAAGGGAAAACATCCAGTGGGCATCTTCTCAAAGCCAGGAGTGTCCTAGAGCACGTGGAATTGCAAAGGAAATTAAAACCTCAAGCAGATCACTCCCTCTCTAAACTCTGAGAAATAAGTAGCAAAAAAATGAATTAAATTAACCAAAGATTAACAAAATTAACTAACAATATAACTTCAGGCAAGGCAGAATGAAGCAGCACAAAGACACAGAGACCAGCATTTCACAGAATCAGTTAGGTTAGAAGGGACCACGTGGGTCATCCGGGCCAACCTCCCAACGTCTGCTCCATTTCACAGCAGTGGATTCCTCCACCCGTTCCTGACCTTTGTGGGGTTTCACAGGTGTGGAAGCACTGCTGTGGCCTGCCCTCCGCTCCCAGTGCCCCCTGAGGGACACCCCGAAGCACACGTACCACGGGCTGCAGCGGGGCTCCGGGCATCATGGCATTGGCGAGCTGCATCTGCTGGGCCAGCATGGCCATGTTCTTCTGCTGAATCAGGTTATTGCGGCCATTGATCTCCAGCTGCGTTTTTAAGTGTGGTGGTGGGTGAAGATATTTGCAGTTTTCCCTTGAGCATCGACCCTGAAGAAGAGAATTGACACAGTTGGGTTAGAAGCTGTGGGTGCGTCTTTGTTCCTCATGTCATCGGCTAAAGCAAACGCAGTCCTGCTGCAGACCGAGGAGGAAGGGCTGCCACACACTGCCCAGAGCCACCTGACAGCTCCTCTATCCTCTGCTTGCTTTGCTTTTCTGTAGCACAACTCTAAAACATGCTGTGTCTTTTTAAAGCTGCTGAAGGCGAGCAAATAGGAGTTGTTCTGAAAGTACAGCATGTCCCTCCCCTGCGGGGACATGATCCTACTCTGTGAAACCTCCATAGGATGCATTTTTGTTGGGGTTGTGCAAACGAAAGAGGAAACCCAGATTTGTTTCTAAATTTTTCATTAAATTCAGATGTAGTAAACAACAAATATCATGGACAAGTTATACATGGATGAAAGGACACTCAGCAATATGACAACCACTGACACCCAGAAATAATAAACAGCAACTTTGTGCATGATGGAGACCCAGACCCTTCTCCTGGGGAACACAGTCCCCTCCTCTCATAGCACAGGAGTGGTGATGCCACATGCCATGAGCCTTCAGAAAATGCAAGTTCATTAATATGGAAGCTTTGCACACTTATTGTTCCGTAAAGTTGTAACACCAACCCATACTGTCGCTAAAGGGATGGCAACAATAAAAATTAAATAACCTAATTAAAAAGGAGAAATTAATCCTTTTCTGAAAAAAAAACCCCAACCCAGATTCCTTAAATTGCATTTTTTTCCTCTGCTCATTCATCTTTGAAATAAATCCAAACAGAAACAACGACAAGGCAAAAGACAGACTTAATTTGACCAAGAAACTGTTTTTTATCAGGAAACAAATTGATTCAATACAGCTTGACCTTATACTGCAATTCTGCTCAGAAAGTTAAAATTTATCCTCGTTAAACGATCTGCCAGAAATCTAATTTGTAGGATGATTTTTGTCTCCCCTAAAGGCTGGGATAACCAGTTTGCTGCTGCCCACCCTCCCATTCTGTCTCTCCTGCTGGCACTCCAACGTTTTATCGTGACTTGGCTGACATCTACGTGATCCCTGCACAGGAAGAGATACCTGATAAAAGACAGATATGCAGTTTTGTGGATATCTTCAGGCAACACACCATGATTATGGAAAGCTCCTGGCCACCCCCAGCCCCACACAGTGAGACCCACCCACATGGCTGCCCCATCCCTGGCTGTGGGGACCAGAGCTGGCACCTGATAGCCTGGAGCAGTGGCCAGAGCTGCACAGGGGCCAGCACAGCCCAGGGCAGACGGGCCAAATGACATGTGGGACAGCTCTCACTCGGCTGTCACCCAACAGCCTTCGCTCGGGACAAAATGACCCTCAGTTCCTCCCTTTAACACCTAAACCCACTCATTTCAGCACTTCCAGGCCCCTCCAAAAGCATTTCACTAGTAGGTGAAGGTAGGTGCTTTGAAACAGCTTTAATTACGTCAGTGTTTCTCTCGACACTAACCCCATGTTACTTCTCAGTAACATGGGACTGACACATTTACCATCTGCCTGAAAGATGAGATCTTACTTGAACACAGTGTAAAAATCACAGCTAATTACTGCTAAATGGGTAACACAGAACTACAACGTGTTGCTGGGATCATAGAGGTGCGGTTAACCAACCTGATTGCGAAATGCAGATTAAACTCAATGTCCTTGTTTCAGTGCTGGGGCTGAGGCTGCCCCACAACTCTCTGGATGGGATCCAAAGCTGGGCAGTACGTGCAGTACATCCCAACCACTTAATGTACTTCATACACTCAAATATCTTAAAGCCATAAAAACTCATTCCCGAGATCTAATGTAATGTTCTCTGACTCCCGGGAAACAAGGAGCTGCTGCTTCGCCATCAGGCCATCATTTCTATTCACTCAGGAGCTGATCTTCAAGGAGAACAATTTCCTGTGAATTAAGGACTAGGAGAATATACCATGTCCCCAGGTAAACTGTGCTTATGCTTAGTTATCACCAGCTACTCTCAAAACATTTACGTCCTTGTTTGCCTGTTGCTTTGGAGCCCAGGGCACCTTTAACCTTCAATCTTTTTTATCTTGCAGATCTTAGCAAATTTCCCCAAAGAAATGCAAACTTATTTGTCTGGTAACAGAGTTTCTTGTCTTAACTTCTATTCCATGGACCTTTACAAATGGTGCACAGGAGTCAGAAGCCACAGGCTGAAAACCACTGTCACAGATCTCACCAGAAAACGGGCAGCATTCATCCCCTCGACCCTCAGAGCAAGCAGCTCTTAATTACCTTGTCACTGGATCCTGGTAACTGCAGTCAACAGAGTTTAAGGCAGATTTTCATCTCTCTGAACCTCTTCTGAACCCTCTTTACATTACAAAATGAATACTATAAGCGAGTAGATTCAGAGGCAGCAATTGCATGCTGCAGTGTCCTGATGGGGCTTTTACCACAATCCTGTTGGACTAAAGCTTAGTACAAATGCCCCTGAGGCTCCCCAGCATGCTCCTCAGCAGAGGCCCTGCAGGTCCCTGGAGACAAGCAGAGTGAGGGGAGAGGCCCAGCTCTGTCCCTCAGCCAGGCCCTCAGCGTTCCCAGCCACTCTCACATGATGTTTTCCTGCAGCCCTGGGATCAGCAGTGTCAGGCAGAGTGCCCAGCTGAGCTCAGCACCAGCCCCACTGACCAGTCAGACAGCACTGTGTCTGCAGCAGCTGCTACACAACTTCTCATTCTTATTTGAAACACAGGCACAAGTGCACATTTGCTTCTGTTCCCCTTGAAGCACTAAATCTTTTAGTCCCATGCTGCCTCTCCATTTTTTCCTTTAATATACACATTTATTTCCTACTCTGTAGAGTTCACTTTCATTGCCCAAAACACTCTGGCCATGGGATCGGGATGCCCTGGCTGTGGCTGGCACATGTGTGCCTGACCTCGGTGTCTTCAGTCTCCTGTGACACCTTATCAGGTGCAGCACAGTCTGGTGATCAGGAGTCAGGTCAGGAAGACTTTTCTCCCTGCCTTCATGGAAGCAGGAACACGTACCCAGGTGTCTTCCCACAGGCCAGAAGCATCCCCCAGCTATGCAATGTGATTTTATTCCTCACAAAGCACAAGGCATTTTGTATGAGTATTTGTAGAATTGTGGAAAACGTGTCAAACTCAGAAAACAAAGTGGTCGATCCTGCCTTGGAAAAATCACCCTCGAATTCTGCAGTCTGAAGATACAGGGCATTTCTTCAAGACCTAGATCACACACGTGAGCAGGAATAAGCCCATTTCTGAGGTCACCACACCAGGCTCTTCTCTGCACCACCAGCTTTCTGCGAAGAGCAGCAACACCCTGTTTTTCACAGCCCACACTAAACGTCAGAAATACAATGGCAATTCTAGCTCTCTGGTAATAATCTCTTTCCAGAAAATACCCTGACTGCAATGTTTAATAAAGGAAAAGCTTTCTTGGGATTCCTTTCTGAGACTGCAAGCTGCTTCATCCACTGCAGCTACAGCTCAGGTGATACCAGTACTAACAACTGTTACTTTTTCCTTCAGGGAATATTTAATGGCAATCTCAGCAGAAATCAGTAGCTAATTAACAAGAAGATAATTTGAGCTTGGCAAGCTGCTCCTGCCCCCATGACCCTGCTGTCTCCACCACACTGCTGCTGGCTTCTGCTTCTGCTGCAGTGGAGTGTGTGTGAACCCCTGATCTCATGCACACTCCACGGGCTCAGTGCAGGCATCTGCACTGAGGGCTGAGAGGCAAGTCTCTGACTTTGAGTAGTCACTGTTAGGCCTTCAAAGCTGTTTTAAGAGCTTGCAAACACCCACAATTTCCAGTACCCAACCAAACTTCGAACCAATTCAAATTCAAACTGATTATTTCCCAACACCTTCTCAGAAAAAACACCTATCTGCTGTGCAACAGAAGAGCAGAAAACTCATCACCCTGGTGCACTTGGCTCCGGCCTTAAACTTTCTTGGAAAGGACAGCCTGGAGATGCAATAAATTAGGTCTAATTAGCAAGCTGCTCTGCCAAGGTCATTACTGCCCTGGGCATGACCTGTCAGGACCCTGGGGTGCCTATGTGAGGGACCAGCAGGAGCCCCATCTGCCCAGCACAGGGACTCTGCCAGCACTGAGACACCCTCAGACACCCTGTGAGCAGGCAGTGGGAGAACTTCCACCCTGAGACCTCATGGAGTGCAGAAGGCAGAGATGACCCAGAGCCTCCTGCCATGCTGCCACTCAGTGCAACAGCCAACACAAACTCTCCTCTCCCAGAAGGAGCCTGGGTAGCCTTCTGCATCTGCTTCCAGCACCCCTGACCCTCAGGCCGGGGTTCCTCAGAGAAGAGTTGTTTCCCCAGGGACACTGCTGGCAGGAAGGTACTATTACCCCTCTAACACAGGGATGGGTTTTGGGCTGTGACAGGGCACACAGAGACATGGGGACACCATGCAGTCCTAACCTCACCAGCGTGGCAGGGGAACATGGCACAGTGGTGCTGTGTATGCATTTCTGTTCCCAGATCAGACACTGACCAGTGCTGGGATGCAGCCTGCAGCCCTGGAGAGGGGCCATCCTCTGCAGGAGAGGCTGAAGGTTTGGGGAGAATCAGCAAACATTAGATCAGGCACAGACAAAGCACAGATAGAGGAGAATTTTGTGTGGGCAGAGACTAAACAAAGCCTCCAGTTACTGCTGTCACTGATAAACACCGGAGCACACACGGAGCTCAGCGATCTTGCCACTGCTGCTTGAGGTCATCCTCCTGCAGCAGCAGAAACCCAGGATAAACACTCGGACCAGCAGGCTGTGTGTGCCACTCAGTGCCTGCCCCCAGGCCAGCACTGACCCCACATCAGCCAGGGCAACCTGCCTGGCTTCACATGCAGCTTCTGTGCTGCTGGGGACAGGTACCCCTGTGTGCCCTCTGTGCACCTCAGGTACACACACCTGTACAGACAGCTGTCAGAAATGCAGCTGCTCACTCTGGG